TTTATCAGAGCTGCCTGTCAGGCTGCAGGGGTCAGAGAAGGGTGCAGACTGCAGCCTGAGCCACAGCACAAACTCAGCCATAAGGGAGAAACAAACTAGCTAACAGATCAGAACTAAAAGAGATCCTATCTGAAGCGTTTTGTTTTTCAAGCTCAGAGACACTGCTAAAAGGCTCAGCAGAAGACAAGAGTTCATTATGGGACTACTAAATGATATTACAGTACGTAACTGTTTCATTATTACCACTACTGTAGAAGTAAACAAGTACCACTAGACCTACTCTTTAATTCAAAACTTAACTGAATAAAGCTAAAGGTTGTCTCATTCTGTGTCTGATGTGACACTAAATAAAAACACTTCAACGGGTTTTTACAGAAAATTGTTTTGCAGAGCACTTTTTGTGTTTGAGGACTAAAGGAAGGGGACTTCAAAAGTTAACTGTGCTGTACCTCTCAAACATTTTTTACAATGTCCTTATTATTCCTTTTTGGAGCACTTTGAATTAAAATTTGGCACGAAACAGCAAATAAAGTCTATCTTGATTTTGCCCTTTTTTTTAAGTCCTATTTCCTGTTAGATAGTCAAAAACTGAGAAGGAGATCTCTGTCAGATCGTACGTGAATGTTTTATTCTCCAATCTCAGATAGATTTATATGGATAGATACTTGAGAGGTACTGATTGAACTCAAATGACAGGTCTTGTGAACTATTTCTTTCTTAAAACATATTTCCATTTTTTTTTCATTCGAATACTTTGTTTTGTTTCATGTTATGAGATGAATATTTAAAAAAAAAGTAATGTAAATACTTCAGCTGCTCTAGCCCTACAATATATTATCATTGGATGGACTTGACATTATAATCACTGATAACATTACACACATTGAAGAAGCTGTAGCCTAAAATACTAGTGTATTTTAGTGGATTGTTGCTATTGAATTAACTAAAAGATAAGTGTGTTTGCACCAAATAATACAGACGTGTTAATAGGAGCTCTCCAAATGAGTCTTTTAAATGTACGGCCACAGTAGAACAATGCCAAGAGTTCATAAACCAAACCCAGTGTGACATCACTGCACTAAACTCAGTATAATAAAACCTGAATTAGTTACTCATAATGTTATATTTGTTAGGATTTTTTGTATCGTGTCCAAGGCCAGAAACAGGTACTTGCCCTCCAGCATGATTTCTGTCTTCTGAGGCACCTTTTTCCTTTGCTTTTTTTACTTTTGAATCTGCGATTCAGGGACAAAAAAAAAGGAAACCAATGGACGCAAAAAGTGTATGTATGAGCACTTGAAGCAATCTTACTGCCTTACACCTTCAATTCTAATTGTATTATGTTCCGCAGCATTTGCTATAATAGAATTATTTGTCCGTAAAGGTCCATACATTCTGTGTCATTTAAATTAAAAACCACTTGTTATATTTCTGATAAAAAATGTATATCTCTTTCTATTTTCTATATTTTCCACTGCTGCAGCATATTGCGGGATGCACTGCAGTGCATTCAAAAGAGGGCAGTGTAACCACACATGCAGGGGTTTCTTGATGTTTTCCTCTATTTCAGTCCACTCTCACATAAACATATTACTATACACCACATGTATTGTAAGTATTGTATTAGTTCAACAGTTTGCAAATCAAATCTTTCCTGAAGCAACATATTTTTTGGTTTTAAACTGATAATGTATTTGTCAGGGTAAAATGGCTGGAGAATAGAAAATAAAGTATGACTAATATAATTTCAGCAGTCAGAGTGAAAACCACAGTGGTCAAGCTGTGAGGAAAAAGCTGCTGTAAAAAAAAAAAAAAGCTGTAATTGCTGCAACACCCACTGACCCCTGTGCATCAGCATACCCAATGACTACATGTAAGAAAATTGCTTCATAGTTAATGTATTATTGTTTCAGTGATGGCAGAGAGGTTGCTTTGCTTGGCCCTGGGTGGCATCATTAACACAGTCTGAAGTAACACGTTAAAATCAGATGGCATTGTCACAGGTGTGACTACTGCTGTTTATGCATGTGATTAATGTCCCCTTTTTTGATTAATTTCTGTTGGCTGAGAAGCCCTCACATTTGTGATTAATGAACCTGCAGCCTAATATAATATAATGGTGGTTTGGTACATATTTAGTGTATGTACGTGCATGTGTGTTCTCTCTATGACTGCTACCAGTGCGCAGCATCCTTCAAACCCCAGTTCAGTCTGTGGTCACAGCCAAAGGTCAGGCTAGAGGAAATCAGCACACAACACTTGGACTCTCCACATCTTGAAAGCAGAGTCTGTCTCACTGTGGTGTCATGATAGGGGCAATATATTGGGCTTTCTTCAGTAAATCTTGCAGACAAAGACAAGAAAGCAGACACAGAAACTGGCACAGCCATTGTATGTAAAGTTAGTGGCAGGCTGATACATAAATCCACATACACGGACACAGCTCTGGTCTCATGGGTCTAAGCTTCTGTCTCTGCCTGAGGGCTGGTAAGGGTGTGACCAAGATGCTGCAGTACAGAGCCTCACACTCTTCCTCTCCTCACAGAACTGAAGGAGACAAGGTGTACAGCTTGGTTATACTCACTGTTGACCTTTTGATGTACTAGTCAATATTCTCTCTTTTTCCCCTTCTCAGGCTTCTTCCCTCTATGCCCCACCTCCCCATCTCCCCGGTGGTGACAGAGACGGAGGACACAGGGGTCTGTAATTAGCTGGTTGACCCCGGGGTAGGGTTGTGTGACCCCGGCAGCCGCGAAGCGCAGATCCAGACTGATCAGATGAGTAGTTCTGAGGGATCAGTGGTTGAAAGACAGCCGCCTCCACGCCTCAGCCAACCCAGTCACATTATAGCCAGAGTGGCCGAGAGGGGCACAGTTACAGGAGCCCAGCTGCCGAGCCCAAACAGAGTCACAAACACCTGTCTGGGTAGAGTACAAACATACAGACACATGCTTTTCAACATCCACAGACGCCGATGTGGCTGCAAAACACACTACCTGCCACCACTCAAGGAAAGGCGGAGGAGGAGGAGGGGGGGCTGAGAGGTAACCTGACCCAGGTAGGGGAAGGATAGGGGTGGAAGGGGATGGGAGGGGAGGGAGGAGCAGTGCTGGCCCTTGGTCAAGTGCCTTGTATTCCACAAACAGGCCGCATCCAGTTACACTCTACCTGAGACGCCGAGCCTGAGGAGAGGACTCAAAGAAAAGCATGTGGACCCTCCCTTTGGTGCGCCTTGGCTAATGGAGATTTTACTCTCAGAAAAACACATTCTGATTTCTTCTCTGAGCACGTATCCAAGGATTTAGTGAAAATCCAGACATATTCCATTCTTCTGAGCCAGTTCATGTGCAATTATGTTTTTTTTCTTTCCAGCTGCAGAAGTATTAAAAGCATTGAATTGCGGTTGCAGAGGTACCTATAAGCAGGTTGATAATTGGTAAATGTGGCTCAGCTGTCTGTGCTGCCTCCACTTGCTCACTACACTAATTAAAAGCAGCGAGATGGGAGAAAGGGAGAGAGTGTCATCAAGGACACGCTGGGAGACGTACACCTGAGACGGCACAGTCACTGATGCTCCGGGCACATCAGCATGACCTGAACGCCGGCGCTGTTTGAAGTTGTGACAGAGAGAAAGAGAGACAAAAGTGTCTGGATCTGAAACTGTTGCCTGTGGGGGAAATAAAGAGATGGGAGGAAATAGAGAGGAGAGGAGAGGAGAGAGCACATGAAAAGAGAGTGAGGAGATAGAGGTAAAGAGACTGGGGGAAAGAAAAAATGAGCAGATTGAGAGGAAAAGAAGGGAAAGGGAGCGAGAGAGCGAAAGGGAGGGTCTCATCTGCCTCATCTGTGTGAAAGTTGAGGCATCCTCTTTAGGATACTTCTTATTTAGTCTCACTTTCTGTTGCTCAGCCCTCATTCATTTCTACCTCTTTACCTCTCTCAAGTCATCATGTTTACACAAGCTGTTACTGCCATTTCCCTGTTGTCTAACCCTCTGCTGTTTTTCCTCCGTCTTTCCCCTCTTTCTTTGTCTTTTTCCTGCTGGTTGGAAATCTGCAAGGCTTGCTCATCGGCGCCAGCCTCTGTTAATCCCCTCCCAAAGCACCTTAGCAACGCTAGGAATTTAGAGATGCTAAAAAAAAACACACGACGACAACGACAACAACTGTTCTTAACACTGGGCTCATATTGGCAAGAGTGGCCACATCTTGAGATGTGTGTGTGTTTTCCATAAGTAGTTCAGAACAATCTGGAAGGGTGTGATAACCAAGGATCTCTCAAGAGTGTGTGTGTGTGTGTGCGCATGAGTGTGCGGCTGAATACGTGTATGTGTGCACAGAGTGGGAGTGTATGTTTATGTGATATAGTTCCTATAACACCAGCAACCTGGTAATCACCGCGTGTAGTCACCTGAGATGCTCATTATCTAGTCCCTGTACACGTTCTGTCTGTGTCTGTTCACTGAGTCTGCACACACCACACACTGCTGGACTCGAGTCTCAAAAGTGTTTGTGTTTGTGTGGCTGGTAGCACACACCTGAATGAGTCAATGATAGACCGAGAGGCTGAGCGAGCAAAGAAAATAGAAATTATTACACAGCTGTGAAACAACTTGTTTTATCATGGGTCTAACTTTGATGTTAGCCAAATGCCTTGATGGAAAAAAAAAATCAATAAAGCAAGGTTACGCTCATAGCAATTATGCTGTTAGTTATTTTTCATTTGTTGGCTTTGTGGTTTTCATACATCAGCACAGATCACCCCCCACCTCTCTCTTTCTCTACCTAAAATCAATTACTTAGGGGCAGTGGTAAAATAATTGAGGGCACATTTAGGCCTTGAAATTAATACATAGTTTAAATGTTAAAACTTTCTCATAGTTCTCACTTTGAAGTATTAATTTACCTCCCAAATTGAATGTGAAAAAAAAATGACGGAAAACTCAATATTTCATTCTTAGGCAGTAATAAGATGCAAGAGTTTATTTAATATGTATTCTCTTTTTTTCAGCAAAGCTAAAACAACAGTAAAACAGACTGTACAATTTAAGTGTTGAGTACACAACAAAGACCTCTCGCAATATGACAGTTTATTCATGAAGACGACTGTACGAACGGTAGTACCTTTTTTTTTTTTTAAATTCAAAATATATACGTAGATTCATGCACAGAAAATATGTTAATTATAACCTAAGAGATTATCTGAATAATGAATGTTTATTTCCTTTCTGCTTCTCCTGATAAAAGACAGTCCAGACAGTTTCTGGACAATAAACCTTCTACTGACGCACTGGTCCTGGTGCCAGATCAGTACACGTTTCTTATTGGGCTGGTCAAACAGCATATTAAATACAGTCAAGGCTGTAGAAATATTCATTACAGGCATTTTGACGGATTTTACAAATCTGAAAATGCAGCGGGTTCTTGGAAAACATGCCAACCGAGGGACTAAGAGTATTAAGACGGTGAAGCTGGCTCCAGTGAAAGGGAGTGGGAAAGGGGAGCTGTTGCAGACATTGCTGAGTGTTTTTTGTTTGCTGAGCTGGGTGAAATATGGGGCTGGGGTTGTTTTCTTTTTTTTTTAAATAATATGTCCAATCTTCAGGTAAGCCACACCAGATAAAATAAAATCTCCACAATCTCACACTGCACTTAAGATACAAAACATTAGGCAATAGGAGAAAAGGGTTGTGTGATTAAGGTATTAGAGTAGGTAGCATCACATGGGAAAGAGTGAATGGAGGAAATTTGGGGCTTTGACTGTCGCTGACATTTTCCAAAAGGTCTTTTCGCCCACAGAACCTATCTTCTAGTGCTCGTCGTAATGATGGCCTGCCAGCAGAGGAGACGTGGTGCTATCTGTTAATCACAGGCCCCCTCAGTGATCCATGTCCACTGGTGATAGCCATGGTGGACATTTTGCTGGAAGAGAGAGACAGAAAGACAGAGAAAGAGGGAGATGGACAAAGAGAGGATATTGATTTCTAGGAGTATCAAATGTCAAAAAGTCAATAAATAAAGACACAGCAGAACAGAGCAAACAGAACCCTGTAGTTGTCAGTTTATGATATAACAAATACATACTGTTCTTAATGTGTACATGTCATAGATAGTTGGACACGCACACACACACACAGGTAAATGGTTCAGTCAGCTGAATACTTAATAGACAGCAGGTTATAAATTAAATTACAAATTAATCAAATGTACCCTATACCTTAAACAGTCTGATAGCTGACAACAATCTAATGGCTCTGGAAACAAATTGAGTAGGGTTATAATCATTAAGAACAATTTATCTGCGGCTCTCGGACATATTGCTGTGACATACACATCCTTCACTTGTTCCAATCTGACCTATCTAAACGACCAGGTTTGTTGATCACTTGACCCTGCAGAGTTCAAAGGTCAGCCAGTTCAAACAGCTATCAGTGTGCAGCAGGCACCATAAAACTGCTGTTTCTTATTGGAACTCTTTGACCCCTCATTAACCCCATCTCTACAGCAGAATTATCACCTGCCACACAGGGGCAGAAATCCTTTACAGCATCTGGTGGGTTTGTATGTGTGTGGGCCAGTGATAGAGAAACACTGCAGGTGGGTTGTACACCACGCTCTACTGAGTGAATTGTCGAGTCAGTAGGTTGGTCTCCATTCACCTGTTTGTAATGCACACTTTTAATTCATGCGCAAAAAACGTGAGTGGATTGCCAGAAAATAAAATAAAAAATCTTCTCTCGACAAACCAACTCCTAATAATCGCAAAATGGTAGTAGATGGAAACGTGCAGTAATTCGCAATTTCTTTGCAGATTTTGTCAAATATTTGTGCTGCATATTTATGGGAACCAGTGAGAGTTAGTTAGAGTGTCAGTCAACTAGTTGCAATGTGTATAAGAGACTAAGAGTCTACAGCTGTACTTTCGCACAGTGGTGCTTTGGGCAAAATGCTAATGGCAGCATACTAACATGCTCACAATGACAGAGCTACCATGTAGTACAGAGTTGGTCTATGGACATCTACAGCCTATATATCTGGTTTTCAGGCACTTCAAGTTGTAATTACAATTACTCCTTGATATGACATGAATGCAGCATGATGTTAATCAGGAATGATGTTTACCATGTTCACTATCCTAGTAAAGCATGTTAAAATGCTAATGTTTGTTAGATAAAGATTTCGCTAGATGAAAAGTCAGAACATCACCAAAGTGATTACAGTTCAATCTGAGTTGAACATTTCCCTAAAAAACCCAAATGCCAACCTTATGGTGGTACTAGAAGTACATTTTTAAAAACTGAGATGCATTATCTGAGAACCAGTAATACAAAATACTGTGTCAATCTGTGTGGTAGATTTTGAAATATTTCACTAGAATAAGTGAAGACTTTGAGCTGCTGGTAGTACTAGACGGAAATTCTGGGAATTGCTAAAGTTGTTCAGATTTATGCACTGGAGAACATGAACGTCTGTACGAAATTTCATGGCAAAACATCTCATAGCTTTTGAGGTATTTCAGTTCGGACCAAAGTGTTGGACTGATCAACTGACATTGCGATCCCTAGAGCCACGCTGTTAGCATTGCTAGAAACACAGTGTAGAGACAGAGAGACAGAATTAAAGCATCTAACCTGCTGAAATTATACATTATGTACTAGAGTCAAGTGGGAGAGATAGAAGGAAAAGTAAACATGAAATAATTGTTTTACCTGAACTCTTAACCCTAAGCACCACAGCATTCTATATTAAACGTTTTCATTACAAAACACGTGTTAAAATGTGTGTTATACTTTTGGTTTTGTCTTAAAAAAAAGGATAGTTGGGTTGATTCCATTCTGATTTATGTTCTGGTTTGTTGTGTTAAAGCTGCAACAAGAACCTTCTTTTGTTGATTCTGACGGCCCCTGTGTTTCTTCCTGGTGGTATTAAGAATAACTACAGGGCAGAAAGTTTGTAGATAAGCTCAGGTTGCCACAGAAATAAAGTCTGCTTATGTAACATAACTTCAGCATCTCCTTGTACTCTTCACAGCAGTGAAGTTAAGCTAAAGTAGTTAGCGGAGGGCTAAACTGGCAGTTAGCCAGCTTGGTGGAAGTCTTCATCGGAGTAATTTCTTTACTTTGCTTTTTGGCTTCATGCGCCACTGAGCAGCTTTCATAGGAATTAACCTCCATGCAGTTCTCTTTACAAATCCACACTAAGTAGCTAACCCATGAGCTAACACATCCCACAAGCCCACCTTTCCTAAACAGGAGCGAAGAAAGAAAAATGTACTTAAGAAGTCATTGTGCAGTAAAATGGTCAGTGTATATGTTGTTTTTGGATCAATATTACTGCTGCATTATTGTTACATTTTACTGCTGTATTAAGGTTGATCTACTTTTTTTAAATACTCTTGGGTAGTTTTGGCCTAGGTGTCATACATTTTGGCTGCAATGCCCCAATAAATTTGTATTTTTTAAAGGCAAAAGTGGCTTTGCCCTATAAATGACTTAATTCCAGGCCTATATAGAAATAGCAGATCTTCCTGTTGATGGTCTTGAGTTTCAAAAGCAGTTAAAAAAATGCCTTGTAGTAGGTTTAAGTGAGGAAAAGGTAGCTAACATTTTATTATAAAAAAGTACTCTAAATTCTCTGTTTTGCTCCTGGACAAGTTAAATTTGTTTGTCTCCATGACAGAAATTCAGCAGCCACTTGTGTTGAAAGAGAGAAAAAAAACTAACAATGAATACTAGGCTAAAGATCCTTCCTTCAAGTATAAAGAACAGGAGGATAGTAGAGGACACTTCAAAACTTGTCGTGCGACCCTTACTAGCTGTTCTGTTTGCCTCAGACGATTGGGACACCGGTATCAATGTGTTCATCTGACCTGAAAATGGCACATGGAGACCCTGAGAAAATTAGGCTTTTTAAGTGTTTGAAGAGACAGTTAAAGTCCCACGTTCTCATATTAGAGACTTATTAACTCATGTCAGATCTCATGTTCATGTGCCAATGCATCTATTCATCATCATCATTATCGTTGTCTGCATGTGACTAGTGCTGCTCATTCTCATGCAATCCATTGCACCTTCACTATGATACTGTGGTGGGGAATAAGCTGCAGGTAAACCGACTCCTGGTCCTTGGGGTCTTGATTGTCTGGCTGCTAGTGTTTCTTGCCCTGTTGGACCTATTTTTAGCGATGTCCCTGCATTCTGAGATCTCAGTTGTGGAGAGTACAATGTTAACAAAACTGATATCCAGCGCCACAGGAGTAAAATCCACACGGGCTTGGCAAAAATGGCACACCAACTGGAGAGACTTCTTCTCCAGAACATACTATTGTTGTGTGGACAGAGCAGAGCGGCAAGACCTGGGCACATGGAACAACAAATCTGCAGCCAAAGGCAGATGGTGGCTTTTACAATTGAGTTTGTGTTTGTGGAGATAATGAAAGTTTGATCATGTCATTCCACTTACTTTGCCAGTTATAGTTTGCAACACATTTTTTTATATGCAGTAAAATTAGTGGGGCCACATACGTTTAAGCCGGTTATATGAAGTCAATATAAGACTTTTTCAGCCATAATTCTGTATCACATTATAATTACAACGGCATGTTAAGATTAAAACATTAAACACCTGGCGACGTTTTCACATGACTTGAACAGTGGATCATTGTGCATGATGGCACTTCTCAATGTGAAGGCGGCAGGTTTATCAATTATATTTTGTCCTCAGATGGCAGCGGGGACTTAAGTAAGGAGGTTTTCACAGACTGTTTTCTTGGCATTCCTGCTATAACCACCTTTAAATTTGATATGCAATGCTACCTTAAATGCATCTATAGGAGTTCACATTTTTTTTAGATTTATACAGCATTTTTTTGTACTTGTGGTGCATTTTCACCGAGTGTTTCGTTTGCCCTTGACAGAATTTCCAGCTTAGAGACATTTATTGTCAGCACAATGTCTAAGACTCAATTTCCACCAAAAATACCAGCAACAAGCTTTGCAATAACTCCATTTGAAAGAAATTCCCACATGTTTGCACCTCTCCTCCCATCTGTGTGCCATGTGCCATCTCGGCACTGAACACAAAAATACCAAACAGACAAACAGCAGTAAAAATCTACTTAATGATGCTGCTTCTAAAAAAAGTCCTATTATATCAGTAACTAATAGTTATTTGGAACTTTAATTAAACATTGCTACCATCTGTCTCCTTGCTGGCTGTCTCCAGCAGAGTTAAAGCTGTATATTGGTAATTTGCTTTGCTTCATATGTTTAGCTGCTGGATTTCACTATTTCTTTCATCCCAGGAAGTGTTGGGGTGGGGTGGATGGTTTGACATATAACTTCGACACTGAAACCCATACAAAGCGCCTGACTCCGATTGCTGTTCACAACCATATCAACTGTCAACATTGGTTTCTATTACTTAAGATCTTTATCAAATCTTAACCTAGAAGTATTAGTTGCCTAAACTTAAAGCTGTATAAATTGATTTTTTGGCCACTTGGGGGCAGTGGAACAAGCTGAAAACACAACACTGATGTATTATCTCCTTATTAGGTTGGGGAACATTTTAGCAAACTGTTGCCTGCTGTTTTAGCTCCACTATGGTCACAGCTATAGTCATTACTTTGTCTGTCTGCTTTCAGGTGCAGCTAGTGTACAGTATCAAAAACTGTTCGCCTGAACCTTGACTAAGTAAATAAAAACTTTAATCTTCTTTAGTTGCCAGGAGCAAATATTAGGGAAAGTAAATTGAATATATATTATTCATAGAGAAAGTTATATATATAGTAAGTATGAATGCTTTGTGTTGGCAGTGAACAGTTTGCAGATATATGTTAAATATAAAAGTTTCCTTATTATATATTATTAATAAAGGTGTAATTCAAGCAGCAATACTTTTCCTACAGAATGTTTGATTCAAGCAAACTGATTGACCCTGTTCAGTTATTTCAAAGCATTAATGGGAAAAGTTTAATAGTTTTCTTCACAAAGCCTCTTTACACAAGATCGAATTTATATCAACCTGGACCTATTTCATAGAATAAAGGCTAATTTTCAGCTGATTTTTCCACTAGACACGTTTCTGTTTCACACTGGCGGCAGGGCTGCTGCAGCTACTGCTGAGGACGCTGAGGACATGTCCTCTCTAACAATTTAGGGAATGTGGGGGTGGGTTTAGGCACATATTGCATGTTTCTGAGATTCTAATACTTTTTAGACTAAATGTCTTAGAATAAAAACAAATATATTTGAATGGATTTAGTGTTTTATACCAGAATTAGAGAAAGTTTTGAAACATTTAGACCATGAAAAACTTTACAGAAAATATAATTGAGTCATTTAATTAATAAATAAAATGTGAATTTCTGTGGGGATTTTTTAAATAGAGATATTTAGAAGCTTGTCGCAATTCTTAGGTGCTTTGGGTTGTGCTGGGTGACTTTGGACTCATGACCTAAAAATCCTGGCTACAGCCCTGACTGGGAGTCTCCTCCTCCCTCCATTCAGTGATGGACAGTGAGGCCACTCAGTATGCTACACCCCCACCTCCCAAACTTCCATCTTCTTCAAACTTATTCTTTCCTTTCTCCTCCTTCCTCCAAAAACTCCCCGGTTCCTGTGGAGTGGCTGGTTTTGTGTGGCCTCAGCACTGTCCCGTTTTTATCACTCCTCTGACGGGTTACCCCGGTCCCCCTCGCACCTGCGCCGCTCCCAGGTCCCTACAGGAATGCGCTGGGGCTTGTAATCGCCTTTGTGGGGGCCACTGAGTTGTATGGCTGACTGAAACTTCCCAACCTCACAGCGCGCTGGCCGCTGAATGGGGCTCAGCGTGGGGCGGCTCTCCAAACCACGGCCGCTGCCAAATTCCTACAGTGGCGCTCCACAATCACTCCCACACAGGCCCCGATATACCGCCAGGCAGGAGGGACGGGGAGTATGAGGGGGAGGGGGGGAGGGATGTGGTGGCGGTGTGTGTGTGTGTGTGTGTGTTGGGCAGAGAGATGGAAAAAGTCTGCATTTAACTCCAAACAAGACAGCCACTTTTTTTTTTTTTTTTTGCGTAATATCGTCACTCTGGATGGACATGGCACAAACATTTCTTGGGGTTCTGTCACTTTTCGATTAGTCGTTAGCAGTGATTTAGAGTAACAATAAACCAAATGTGATTTTTGTTTTCTCCATTTTAATATCTCACCTCTTGTCAAAAAGTTCCAGTGCAGATGCTATTCCAACAACGGAGAAATCTGAAAAATAAAAAAAAAGGAAAATAAAAAAAAGCGTTTGAATGCTGGACAAAGTTTGAAAATAAAGCAATTTCTCATAACTTTCAGGACATTTGTGCTGCGTTTCGGTGCATTAGGTCTGTGCGCCGGCATATAGCGTGGTAGCTGTGGGTAGATAGAGCAGCACTGCAGGATTAAGAGGCAGCAAGATTGTTAAACATGTCAACGTGTAATTGCACGATAAGGCCCTTCCGAGGAATTCATTGGCCCAGTTGCTTTCTCTATTCCGCGCTAATCTCGCCCGGCACATTCGCTCTGTGCAATCTGTCTCCATAATCTTCTGTGACAGAGCGGGCGACGAGAGCAGGCTGCTTGGTAATTTTTTTTTTAGGAAAGGAGGGGGGGGGGGCGTGGAGAAAATATGCAGAGGCGTGATAAAGTGACGCTAATTATCCCCATT